GGGCTGTCCTGACAGATTTAACAAAGTGATCCAGCTACAAAATCACCGTGTAAGCTTCTCTTGAAAATATGGTCAGAAGTAGTTAAGAGATTTCAGCTTCGCAGGGAGATCGGTCTATTAAGCTGGCCGACATTACAGGACCATAAGTACAAACAATGGACTAAACGAGACATCACCTCCTTCTGTAGAATAATACAAAAAGGAAACCTAAAGAATTTTGAGGATCTGCGTCAGTCTTATGAGTTGGGTAAAGAGGATTTTTACCGATACCTACAGATTCGTCACTTTTTTCTGAAGGAAATAAAGATCCCAGATTTAGCCGAACCCACTATAATAAACAAATATTTATTGATGCTTATGATTCAAACAGTACCAAAGGCATAACTGGCAAATTCTATAAAGGTTTTACCTTAATGAACAAAGATACAACAGGTTATGTTAGACAGCGCTGGGAAAAAGAGGCCAATGTATTAATATACAAGAAGCATGGCTTCAGATTTGGAAAAATCAATCCACTTCAACAAATTATTTTTTTTGGCGAGACTTCTGCTGGAAAAATCTGATACGATTTTTTATTACCCCAAATCAGAAGTCAAAATTTAGTGGTTCTCCAGCCTCTTGCTGGAGGTAATGTGGAGTGGTCTCGGCAGACTGTGTACATGTTTTTTGGTCTTGTCCACGTCTAGAGCCCTTCTGGAAAGATGTGAAACTGTTAATCGCAGAGACTCTGAACATTACATTGGATTTCTCTTTCACATCCCTCTACCTCGGGAAAATTCCAGAAGGTCTTGGTAAAAAGGACATATACCTTTTAAAGTTTCCCTGTGGTGGCAAGTAAAAAAGCGATTACTAAATGTTGGCTCCAGAGGAACCTCCTACCATGAGACTTTTGAGGAAAATTGTGAATTCCATCAGCTTTATGGAAAAAATGACTTTTGTCCTGCGACTTCAAAAGGAGAAGGGAGAAGAATATTGGAGAAAATAGGATTTATACAAAGATAAAGACTCGTAAATATATATTGTTTCATTAGAATGTACCATCCATTAAGTACTGTACCTGTGCCTTTTACATTCTTGTATTTGATCTTATTCATACTGTCTTACTTTAGTCCTCACTTGTTCTGTGTTTCTTGTAAAACAAAAATGAAAAATAAAGTATAAAAAAAAATAAAAAAAATAGGGAAATACCTTTAGTTGGTCCAGTTTCTCCCTGATCTGGATGAAGCCCAGGTGAAGCTTCCCACCAAAATGGTCAGCCAAGCGGCGGTCGTTGTCATGGAGACCCAGGTAGGCAGAGCACACCTCACAAACCCGAAGCTTTTGCTGCTGGAAGCTGGAGGCTGGCATTGAGTTTCTGTACTCTTCCTGAGGATTTAAGGATCAGAAGGTGGACTTTTTAGTTAAGACAATGCAGCCTTTGATGTAGAACATCCTGCAAATTTCCCCTTTCTTACCTCTGCATCCTTCTTCCTCGTGCGAACTTTCTCCACTTCCTGCAGAACCTTCTGAGCCTCATCAACGTTTCCCTCGGCTCCGAGCTGCTCGGCCTTGGCCAACAGCTTCCCGATTTCCTCGTTCAGCTCATGAACTTTCTCTGCCTGCAACACAGACCATAGAAAACAATTAGAACATGAGTTTATCCTCCCGGACTGGAGGTGGCATAAGAAAATGAAATACTCAGTGGATAACCAACTTGTGAATGTGATTTCCTGGCCCACAAATGTTTAAATGCCTTGCGTCACACACCTTTGCTGCCACCTCAGCGCTGATCTCCTCTTGGGTCTCAGCCAGGCGCTTCTTTGCCAGTTCTGTCCTTCGGTCACAGTCAGCAATGAATGACTCCAGGTGATCCACCGCCTAAAGGAGAGGGAACATTTGTCAACCAAAAAAAATAATTAGATATTTGGAATTGCTAGATTAGCATGCACGTAATAAATAAAAACCTTTTGAGCCTATGCTAATTTTACAGCTATTATCTCAATAAAAGCAGTGTTCTCATAACAACCAGTGTGTGAATGCTTTCAGCTACTTCTCTAAATAACCCACATAAAACAGAAAAAAGAAAGAAAGAGAATCAGTTTAAAATAGCCAGAGTGACTTAAAGGGTGTTGATAATTCTTATCTTAAGGAGAGTCTCACTCACATCAAGCTCAAAGAACAGATCTCTCTCCTTGGATGCAATTTCATAATCTGCTCGTAGTGCCAGGTCGTGGATCTTTGTGCACTCCCCCAGATCCATGCGCTATCAAAAACACAAGAAGACATCAACTAAACAGAAACAAATCAAAGCTCAATAACATTTATTCATGTCAATTTAACAGTCTACAATTTTTGTACATAATGCAGTTCATCTTCTTTTATTTTTCCAGATTCGCTGTAAAATAAATGATCATGGTCTAGGGGTAATGAGGGATTACTTACAGTTCCAGACAGGATGTCATGTGGACAGCAGTTCAGAAGATGACTTTTGCAGACTCGCTCGTCGGTGAACTTGACCCTCTGTCGTGTCTCATCGCCTGAAACAGTCCAAAAAAACCACCAGTGAGAAAGACCTCACATACTTGTTAGCCGGGGCGAAGTATCCAGTGCTCTAAAACATGAAACTGTAACTGCACTACATTTATTGGGCAGATTTGTGTAACTTAAACTGCATCTGAGCATTCTGTGCCCACTTAACAGAGTAGAAATCATTTCTCCTGATTCTGATGGTCAGGGTTGAACATATATTTGTTTGATGTAATGCTTTATTTACCTGTATTAGTATGTTACTCTGCTTGACTTTGTTGATTATCTATTTATGTGTCAACATTAAAGACAAAAAAAATAACGTGTGACTTTATACTTAACTTCTTTTTTTCATCACGCTTACCTTTCCAAAAGAATAACAAAAAAACAAAATAATGAGGCAATGTGAGAGCCTCAAGAGTTTAAAGTGTGATGAGGCTCAATGTCCAGTCTGTACATGTGAAGAATTGGAGTTTATACATTTATATTTTGAACATTGAAATAAAAAGAAAAACAAAAATGTAAAAGGAAATCCAAGGAAAAAAATGTAGTTTATACACACTGCGATCTGCACCACATACTGTACCCTTCTGCATCTTCAAGACCTCAGCTGCAGAATTTTAAACCCGCTGTAGAAAAGTATAAATGGGAACAGTTTTCTTGCCCATACCTGTAGTAAGAAGTTGGGAGTCATACACAAGTCAGATTGTAAATGATGTGTGCAAACTTCTTTTTTTTTTGCTTCGATGACTGTTAAAATTGCCTTCTGAAAACAGACGTCAACTGGAAAAAAACTCGTTTGGACTCAGCGCGACAGACGTCTTAGCTCAAGCTTCTTAAAACTACTCCAAATTGTAACTCTAGTGCCACTGAAGATATACCCATTTGTGAGTGATTTAAAAAGGCTACAATAACTTCCGGAAGGCAAACAAATTGTTTGGATATTCATCATAACAGCTTTAAAAATTATGTGTGACTCACGGCTCGATGAACATGAGGCTTTTCTGCAACTCCTTTGCAGATTGTTGTAGGCTGGCAAAGATACACTGAACCTTAATGAATAAAATAAAGGGGCCACAATTGTTCAGTTTGTATGCAACACATGTATGGGAAGAATTTGATATAAATCTTATAACACATACACCCACAAACTCACACCACAAATTCACTCTAACAGTACAAATTGAATGATCAACTTGTTACAGATGACCAACAGGGCTGTAGTCAGAATGAAGCTTTAAGACTGGCAGAGCAGTCTTTGCTGCTTTTTACTGACCATGACAATCAGACAGATTGTTTACCTTTTAATGTCTGTATCCAAAGGGTGATAGATGGTTATTTAAAAAAGTTCCATATTACAAACTGTTCAGTAAACTCAAGTAAAGATTCTTATTTAAAGTATATATATATGTGTAATGCTTTCATTACATTCTAAATTGTAAAAACATTGTACTTTTTACTCTTTCTACGTGACTTCTTAGCGACAGAAGTTTTTTAATAAAAAATGTGGTCACCTTTGAATACAATATTCAATACATGTTTTATAAATTGTCAAAAATGATTCAACACCACTATCACTTAGATACTTCAAAAACGTGTTGAGACTGATTCTACAAAAGAAACTTGTTTTTACTTTTTCTAACTTTTAAGTTTTAAAACATAAATGATAAAGGTTTATGTTAATTCAGAGACATGTTGGCCTAATGTAACGTGAAGCCTGTGAGGTCTTTCATAGTCTATAATGAGTAGTACTATTAGCATTAGATTATTTAGACATCATCTACTGGATTCTTGTCTTGATCGATACATTTTAGGGTTGAAAGCTCAGTTATTTAGCGCCTTGTCTTGGGTCGATCCGCAACTTCACAAAACACAACAGCGTTAGCTAACTTAGCTACTGGTTACGTATTCACGTTAAAAGACGTTCATCGAGCTAAATGTGACATTTTAAACAAATCAAAATACCCCAAAGTGGATACAAACATTATTTCTCAACGTTAATCCGTAGACGCTAGTAGTGAACGTTATATTATTTTAACCAGCCCTCTGCAGTACATCCATTCATGCAGGTCTGCCCCTCACACACCAACACAAGCCAGCCTCAGCAGTGGCTCCATCTTGGCTAGCTAGCTAGCACAGCTAGCATGCTACGGCGACTCACCATCCCTCGCTGTTCCCATCAGCTGGTCGAGCAGGGCTCTCATTTGAGCTTGGGCAGACATTGTTGTCGGTGCTCCGTCGATAGCGCTTAATGAAAATTTAAGCAGCCGAAAACAGTTCCTTTACGTTCCTGTTAGGTGATAAAAAATGTCATTCGTCCAAGCATCCCCTCTTGAAGCCCTTTCCTAATTCGTGGACTATCCAGTTTCCGTTTTACATTAGGGAAATGACGACAGGGCCCGTTGTCTCACATTTCCGTTCAGATGACGCTGAAGGAGGGGAGGGCTAGTTGTATGAAATTGACCAATCACAAAGTTTCAGAACAAGCTGGTTAGCCAATCAAATCGGTTTCATTCACAGCGCTGGTACTGTTCATTTCCCCCCCGAGTTTGGCTTTCAGGCAGCAATTTCTCACCTGCTACTCACCGACTGTCGCCCTTTGGTAACTAAACCTACTCTAAACTATTTTTGTAGGTATTTGGTTAAGTAATATTAATGTAAATGACGATGTTTTGGTCTTTGGTATCGTTTGATGTGTATAAATTGTGGCAAAGATAAAGCCTGCCCTTGTTAGCTAGAAACTGCGCTACACGAGAGAATAGCTCAAAGCCAACAGTGGGTTTGCCTGAGATTTGTTTAGCAGTTATCAGACAGCTGTGTTGTGACAGGCCTACTACCTGAAGTGACCAACAAAACGACGGGGGATTGGATTGTAAGAAACAAATCTTCAGTCAGTGCCTATATTCGTTTTTCAAACTTAATTTCTTAGATGGGTGTTCTTAATATTCCCTGTTTATGGGCTATTTTTCTTGTTCAACAAGTCTGCAAATTTACACGGTGTTGACCGTAAACTTCTCAAACCAGAAACACGCTAACAATGATAGCAACGCGACATTGAGTAACGCAATATTGGAGCTAATTGCGTAAACCTTCGTTAAAATCATGAATATTACAAAGATTTGAGCGCACGTACATAAACATTGTGTTTGAGTAATCTCGTCGTGCCTATGTGACATGGTGTGCTATCCTGTTCATTCGGGGTTTGTTGTTTTTGTGCTCAGAAATCTCTGGAGTCAGGTCTGGCACGTCTGAATAGGTTCTGGTCCACAAAGGTTGATGCAGCAGAAACAACTGGACTGACAGACTGTGCTGCCTGCAGGATTTTCTGTAATATATTAGTCAATACAAGCAAGTTTGGTTATCATTGATGGTTACTTTAACACATGCTGGTTTGTATTTTACGCCACACCGGGCGACGCAAATTGTATGCAATGAAGGCAGTATTCACTGAATAGACATTGGAGTATTAACTTAAACCCATAACTGATATTGAAGTAAGGTTTAACTGTAACCTGTTTTCCTCTACCAAGCAGATCAGCAGGCCTGTAATGCATTGAAGAAACAATGGAGACCACTGGCAGTGCCACTGAGGGCGACCCTCTGAAGAGGGGCGAGGACGGGGCAGAATCAGGCACTGCAACGTTACCTACAGAGCTGAAGAAGAAGAGTTGTAAAGAAGCCTGGGGTTTGTCCAAACTGACCCACTGGAGAACCGGAGTCTTCTTCTTCTCCCTGTTCCTCTGCCTCACAGTAGTGTTCGCCTTCTCCTTCATCATCCCCTGTCCCGTCAGACCGCAGTATCTCCTCAGCTGGAACAGGACATTCTCTGAAGCAGGTTTGTACAGTTGTGTGGGTTTTTTTTCACTGCTTGATAGTGTTTTGAGTGTGGGACTGACTACTCTCCTTCAACCCCACAGCAACCTATGATTTCATCGCTATTGAAGACGCCAGCAAGGACAAAGTGATGGATGTTCTGTTTGTCATAAAAAACACAGACGGCAGTCAGAACAATACATGTGCTGATGCAGGTATAAAGCTATGATGAAACAAGATCTTAGACTGATTTCAGTATTTGAATATTGCTGTGTAATTCAGACACTTTGTCTTTTAGGTCTGCCCTCGCCGTGTGTGTTTCTGTTGGCAGTGGACGGGACAGATGGAGAGAGTCTGTGGGAGTGTCCGCTGGAACCTGAGTACCACTGGGCCCAGTGCGGTCTGGACAGAGGAAAAAGCAGAACCTGGGATTGTCTGCTGTCTCACTCGGACAAACTCACAGCTGTTGACAAATTCACTGGTAAGCGACTTTTAACTCTGTCTATGCATCATGTTACTGACAAGTTTCACAGTGTTTAACAAAACTGCAGTGTCAGCATCAAAACTTAATTCAAACATAGTAATAAGACAGAGATTCAACAGCACACACATTGCCAATGAGGTTCTGCAAGTCTAAGTGTTTTCTTTTAAACTGTGTCTACGGAGGAAATTCTCCCAGGTATTGATTGGGCATGTGTAGCAGCCAATATCACTGAAATTGAGAAAATTGACACACAGCGACCACCTCTAACTGCTAGCTGACTTACGAGTAGGAACATAAAATCAAGATGGTGTGTGTCATATAAAGCAAAGGTAGTGTACATTTCATTTACAAACCCTAAGATATCATTATCAATAGCTACAAAATGACTTTTATGTCATTGTTGGGACAGAACCTGGCCTTCAGGTGACAATCGGCACAAGACACATGTACATCAAATTACTGCAACATATTTTTGATTCCATAATAACCTTTTAGAATTTCTTTAAAAAAATGTTTAAAACAGGCTAGAAATGATCCAGATGATTTGATTTTTAAAATAGTACATGTTGTAACAAAGTTGTAAACACAGCTTCTGATGAACACTGAGATGAAGTAAAAAAAAAAAAAAAAAAAAAAGTTTTAGGGATCTTTTCTTTCAATACAGTATATTCATAGTCAAGCATAAACTTTTATTCACATCCATCAGAGCTGTAGTGATTGATAAATCACTAAAAATCTGATAAACTTATTTTGTGTGTGTGTGCGTGTGTACAGGTGAAGTCAGGTGGCAGCAGCCTCAGCCTCCTGGTCTGCACTGTACTGTTCCTGTTCTGAGTGTCCCAGATCTGGATGGGGACCAAGTAAGCGATGTAGCTCTGGTGGCCCCTGACAGCACACAGGTAAACATTCTTAGATTTATTTTGCCGTGTTGCATCTCAGGGTGCAACCGACGTCCTTTACTGGGTTTTTAGTTTAGTTTTGACTTTTTTTGATAATGACCTACTGCATCAGAGACTCATTATCCAACAACGAAGCTTTGTCAGCATAATCATCTGTTCATGCTGCACCAAATAGAATTCAGCCAATCTTAATGTCATACCTGCAGACTCAGCTGGTGTTCCTCTCAGGGGAAGACAGGTGCACAGATTGGTTCCACGGTGTCACTTGACTCCTCAGAGACAGCTAATCATCTTCTCCATTGCACATCAGGAGGTTCTCACTATGTGCTAGTACAAAAAGGTTTGTATTCAGCTCTTTTTTTTTTTAATGTTGCTGAAAGCCACATGGGATTTGACTCGACTCTTCTCAGAGTGTGACATACAGTATTCTTCTCAGGGAATGTGTATATGTCAAAAATTGTGACAATTAAAAAGGGAGCAGTATCTGGATCTTTGATACATGTTGTAGATCCTGCCATGCAGCTTTGTATTAAGTTTAAAAAGTGGAATAAAATGCATTTAGAAAGTGCTACTTTTATTCATCATTAGAGTGTTAGACTGTGTCTAAACACTTGAAACAGCACATTTTCATCATTATAATGTTGAATAGAAAATGTGTTTTTGAAATAGAAAACCGCTGTTTCATTGTCTTGAATGTATCATTCCCCTGATGGCTGTAGTGAGTAATGTTGTGCTGATTCATTCACAGACACTGGTGTGTACGGGCTGGCTCTGTGGAGGATTGCTGCTCAGGCTGAAGCGGGGATGGAGGCGGGCCTGAAGAAGGACAAGCACTGGGAAGAAAACTCCAGTGCAACCACTGGCTTTGTACCCGTCTACGAGTAAGTAATATCACCCCGTTGATTATCATCTCAGTGTCATCGCTGATGTCATCGTGAGCCTTTTGCCCAATCTAGATTTTTTACTTCATAGGTCTGATTCTGTGAAACAAGTGCTCAGAGTTGGAGAAACAGGCAATCCACCCAACCTCCTGATTGTGACCGGGAAGGACGTGGCTTTAATCAATGGAAAGAACTTGAAGTTATTGTGGAGATTTAATACGAGCTCAGTCCTCAGGTAAAACTTCTGATTCATTTCTCTTATGTTGATCTTTTATTAAGGGAAGAATTTAATTAAGTTCTTAACAAAGATCCAATCTAGCAACTATTTTAAGTCATTTATTCAACATTTTCAACAGTTTTTTAGACAAAGGAGTAAAAGGATTGTGAATACCTGCCTGTCTTAATCTATTTAAACAAAACAAGCAATCTGTACATTTCATCTGGAAACATTTTAAGACCTAAGAAATTTCTGAATTGGGTTCATTTTCTGTTAGTTCATCTTTTCTTGAGAATATTTTATGTTAAAATATAATGGAAGTGTACATATCTCTTATTAACTTTAATACCAGGAAAAACCTTAACTGTTCAGAAATTGCCAACTCGCTAAAACAAAACATAAAAGTTGAACAAAAAAGGTTTTATTCCTTCATCACCCTCAAAACATAGGGCTGCTTCTCCTAATGTTTTTCAATGTCACCTGAGAGATCATTTTTTCAATGTCAGAAAAGAGTCATAGTTGCAATCAATATGGGTGATTAAAGTAGTTTTGCGACTTTAGACTAAATATTTCTCATTAATATTGAATGTTTGTTGTCGTTCATACAGTGAGCCTTCCTTCGGTCACTATAACAAAGACAATGTGCTTGATGTTGTGCTAGAGGAGGATGTCGGAAACAGCACAAAGAGGGTGAGAGACCGGTGTGATGCTTCAAAGTCTCTCATATGTTGAATATTTGAATCACACATTCACCATACCACCATGTGTCTCTTATGTAGGTACTAATACTTGATGGAAAGTCTGGTGGTGTGCTGTGGGAGGTCAACCTCCTGGCCAGTCCTAACTCACCAAGACCCGCCTCCATTCACACCGCCAACTCCTTCTCCATCTTTGTGTTTTGGGGCCAGTTTCCTCCAGAGCCAAACTCAACTGTGAGAACACTTCTGTGTTTGAGCTACATGTTAGCAGACTTCTTTAAAAAAAAAATAATCTAATCAGGTTAAACTGTTTGCTTCCAGGTACCAGTCTGTAGTGAGCGATGCTCTTACATGCTCCACCCTCTTTATTCCAAAGTCCTCCTCGAGTCCAACAGTTCAATGGACCACTTCATAACATTTAAAGGTACTTCTGCGCTTAAATTCCCTTTACTTGTATTATTGAGCAACAAAATGTCAAGGTCCAGCTCTGTTTTTTTCTTCTTTTAATCCGTGTCTGTGTTTTAATCTCAGCCACCCTGTTGGAGCGTGGACGCCACGCTGCCTACATCCTCCTGACGGGTCCTGGGACGGAGGGCGCTGAAGGCACCGTGGTTCTCAGCAAGCGGAAGCTGAAGCAGGACGTCCCCATCAGCACAGTGCACCGGATTGGCACTGGTGGAAGCAAAGAGACCAACAATGACATCAAAGAAGCCTTCAACCGTCTGCGCTTCAGCGAGTGGTGAAACTGTGACCTGTCCAGTGTGTTCACAGTGTTAGGATTCTTTTGGTACAGCTGGCTATGATGTGGCCTAATTTAACACCAAAAACCAAAGTAGCTATGGCTTACAGACTGCTGGAAACCTCCCAAAAAAAGTGTGTTCTTGATTTGACAGGGTTCTTCCTTTAATTTTTTATAGACTGCGTTCATGCTATCATGAGTTTGATCTTGCCTTGTGTCAAAAATGCTCCGCTTCCCTGACGATGACTTAGCACAGGTCGCTATTCTCCTGCTGATGAATCCATAAAGACAATCCTCCTTGCTGTATTGTTTCCAACACTGTCAGTTCATTGATATAATGCTCCTTTTTATTGCACAGGCTGGATAATAATTTGGATCTATGCAAATTGATGCCACACTTGATTTAAAAGGTAGCACGTGCTTACTGCCGCTGGTGGATGTTTCTATGTGTTTTAAAACTGAGTTGCCTTAAGAAACAGTCACACAATATAAGGGCTTCTTTTATTTTGGTATCTTTTTCTGATCCGTACACTAAAACAGACGAGGTGTACGAAGCACTTTTTGTTACATACTCTGTTTTACAGTGATGCCAAGACTCCTTTTTTTTTTTTTTTTAACTGCATACTGTTAATAATCAAGAGATGTGTTTCTTACTTTCTCAATCCGAGATGCTGTAACTAGTGATGCTGTTTGATGCACACTGTGTTCACTTTGTTCACTTTGTCAATGGTTCTGCAGAATAGTGATATTTGTACTGCTGTGGGTTTACACTCTGCTTTTATTAAGCTCTTTTATTTTATCAGTTATTTTTTTATCAGTTAAATAACTGAAAATGATTTGGGGTTTTTTGGTGTACATTAATATATTGAACTTTTGTTTGAGCTGGCTTTTCTTTCTGACTTTATATGTTTTGATTTGGAGAAATATTAAACCGTTTTAAAGTAACAGTTTTGTTTTCTAAGATGTTTCTTTATTTGGGTAAACAGAGAAGAACATACAAGGCACCCTTCTCATTGTCACATACATACTGATTAAAATATCTAATATATTTCAATCACTGAGCACAAAAAAAAAGAAAATTACAATATTCCCTACAAATGTCATGTCATCATACATAAAGAAACTGTTACAAATAAACCCTTACATTCAGAAGATAAACTCCAGTTCTGTCCTAATCAATGCTGTGAAATCTGCCCTCTTGTGTTTCAATGTGGACATGAAGCATTGAACATAGAGCAGCAGGCAGAGCCTCCTGTCAGTCACACTGTCCATGCATATCATGCAGTCAGTCACGTCTCACACGGAGAAGTTTCCACTTTACTACTGACAGAATTGGAGCGAGTCGTACATTAACCTGCTGACGGCCTCCTGACTTTCTCAACCCATGTTGGATCATGAAGGGAAAACTGAAACCATTAGTATTATTAGCAGTACCCAGCAGGGAGAGGTGTAGGATGAGACTTTTTGGGGGAGGAAAGGCGGACACAGGGATGATGAAGATACTAGGTCATTTTTCCTTCATCCCATTAATTTAAAAAAACAAATTCAGCTCATTTCCTGATAGGCTGCGGTATAGTTGGTCAATTCTCCCGAAGTCTTACTTACCACACTTGATGTTTATTAATGCAGCGTCCTCACATGACCGATTCCTAGAAAGAGTTCCTCCTGTGTTGGACAGACCGAGCTCTGCCAGCCTCCCTTTAGATTTGACTTAACTCCAATGATAACACTGATCCCTTCCCATTTAACATAATATCTGATGACTAAAGTAATTTGTGTCATCATCTGTGAATGATTAACCATCATCCTAAAAGGTAGAATACTTCCGCCTCCAGAGAAAAAGTAGAGCGCTGTAGGCTATTAAACATGTAGTCTAATAAACATAAAACAGCTCTAATACTGTGTCTCTTCACTTCATCCCAGCACACATCTGTGTAGGTATTCTGAGCCCCGAGACAGTGTGTGTGTGTGTGTGTGTGTGTGTCATTTCAATGTGACCTGAGTCCGCCATACCTTTATGATAAGTCTGCACGGTTCACAGTCCTTATCACTTTCACTGTCAGAGCTCGAGTCAGTAACCGCAACAGAGGTAACGTCTAAACTCTTATATTACTGTTTTTATATTTGTTACATGAAAAAAGATAACTTGTATTAATTGTGTTAGATTTATAGAGTCTAACGAGTTTTATTTTAATTTTTACGTTGTTAGCCTTTATTCTGTTTTCGGTCAGAAGAGAAACCCTGTAGCCATGCACCTGTTTGTAAAAAGAGAAACAGAAAGTGAGTTATGTTTTTGTGAGGAAACAGCCTACGTTTAAGTTCTTGGTGTAAAAGGATATCGATCAGTCGTCTGCCATTATTGTCTTCTGTTATTTTCCTCTTTGATTGTCGAATTTTTGCAGCAATGTTGTTTTTATTAGTCGCATGTTTGGTTTCCGATAACTCATGTCTCAGTATTTGCTGCTTGTGCCGAAAGCTCTACATTTCTAGAAGAATCCTCTCCGTGACGCATGCAGAACCCATCTCCCCAAATTAGTGGCGTGCAGGATCCGCTGTGCATCACATCGCATTGAACATGAAGTCAATGCGAACATAATACAGGTGATCCGCACACACCTGTGCGACACTGACGGACATGGACTGTTTGGCATAACGGGATCGTTTTACTTGGAGACAGAATAACTCCTTTTTCTTTTACGTCCCCTGCTGTATCCATTGATGATTTTCTCTCAACACAGGTGAAAATGGCTGAGGACATTCAAACCAAACTGAAGAATTATCGCACTGCTCCCTTTGACGCCAGATTCCCCAACCAGAACCAGACCAGGAACTGCTGGTCCAATTACCTGGGTAAGACTATGTCAAGGTCAAAACAGTTAGTCTGGGGTCCAGACATGTGTCTATGAAACAGTATTTGTAGAAACAAATGTGTGTTTGTATGAAACAGTATTTATAGAAACTAATGTGTGTATGTATAACTATGAAACAGTATTTATAGAAACTAATGTGTGTATGTATAACTATGAAACAGTATTTATAGAAATAATAAATGTTTGAGGGCTTACACATGTTGATCCCCCCCCAGCTGGAGACTTGTTGAAATGGCTCCTTTAAACCTGAATCAAGGCCATGAGGCTTTTCAAGTATTCATTGTTGTTGTTATTGTTTCTCTATTGACAGACTATCACAGATGCCAGAAAGCTCTGGACGCTAAAGGAGTTGACACGGCCCCTTGTGACTGGTACAAACGGGTCTACAAGTCACTCTGCCCCATGTCCTGGGTAAAAAAAACAACTTTACATCTTATTGTTTTTATCTTTAATTTCAGAATCAACTGGATTAAAAATAAAACACAGAAGTTTCAAGGAAACGGTTGAGTCTACATTATACCGTCTCCTTATGTGGGCTGAGTTTTGTTAAGCAGGGGTCAACATCTTTCACATCCCTTGCATTCCTGTGACTCTCTGCTCTTTCCTGAGAATCAAAACAAAATGAAGAGCTCAAGGCCAAATTTAGAGATTCCTTCTAAATAACTCTCAGCCCTACATAAAAATGTCATATGAGCTAAGTTTACATCTGAAACTCTGCCCCTTTAGGTCCAGAAATGGGACGACCAGAGAGAAGAGGGGACCTTCCCTGGGAAAATCTAAGACTGCATGGATGTAATCTTTTCCACTAAATGTAGAAATGCGGTGGTAGATGATATAGCTCCATCACTACCTTTCAACTACAGATGCTCTGCTATCTGAATGTTCATTCCTTAAATATATACTGTAAAATGTACAGCAGAGCCTGAAATAAAGTATCTCAGGAGATGTTTAAGTAACTGAATTGTCCTGTACGTTTTTTTTTTTTTATCTCGTTGAAAAAAGAACGACAGATGTAAAAAAAGAACAACAAATGAAAAAAAGAACTACAGATGTAAAAAAGAACAAATGAAAAAAAGAACTACAGATGTAAAAAAAGAACTACAAATGAAAAAAAGAACTACAGATGTTAAAAAAGAACTACAGATGTAAAAAAAGAACTACAAATGAAAAAAGAACTACAGATGTAAAAAAAGAACTACAAATGAAAAAAGAACTACAGATGTAAAAAAAGAACTACAAATGAAAAAAGAACTACAGATGTAAAAAAATAACTACAGATGTAAAAAAAAGAACTACACATGAAAAAAATAACTACAGATGTGAAAAAATAACTACAGATGTAAAAAAAACAACTACAGATGTAAAAAAAGAACTGCAAATGAAAAAAAGAACTACAGATGTAAAAAAGCAACAAATGCAATAAAGAACTACAAATGAAAAAAGAACTACAGATGTAAAAAAAAAGCAACAAATAAAAAAAGAACTACAAATGAAAAAAGAACTACATGTGTAAAAAAAGAACTACATATGTAAAAAAAAGGAGCAACAAATGAAAAAAAAGAACTACAAATGTCAACAAATATTTGTTTTACATTTTATTCATTCAAATAAACCTACAACAAATATACATATTTAATCAGGATTAGAAAAATAATTAAATATTTTAAAACACTAAATGTTGCACCAACAAAAATAGCCACCGCCAGAGTGATGACTGTTGATGCAGTGCAACACACTGAAATTAAATACATAAAACTGCATTTCATTTACACCTAACTCCCATCATCAGTAAGGAGTGTGAATTCGTTCATATCGGGGCTCAAAGAAGCAGCAGTAAAAACTCCTCCACTGAAATATTGAAGGGTGATAACCGCTGAGGAGACTTTCATGCAACACGTTAGAACAGATGAACAAATGAAGAGTACAACACCAAGTTTAATAGTGAAGGTAGAATTAGATGAATCCCTTTTTATCCATCATTCTTCTCAATTTGAGGTAAGGTTATAGTATTTGCATATGAGAAGTTGCCAGTTACTGAATCTACTCAAGATCTAAGCCAGCAAAACTACATTTTGGTTTTTCAAAGTAAAAGACTAAAAACCGCTTTACTGGCTCAAGAAGTGTTTGCCTACCTTTCATCGCAACTTCAATAAAGGTCACTTGGATTGCAAACAAGTTTGTTTGTTTTTTCTACCTGATGCAAAGCAGAAAAAAAACAAAGACATAATTTATGTGAAGCCGAATATATGTTGAAGAATCGAGTGTGTACTTTGTTTCATTCAAGTTGAAATGTACAAAAATCTGACCACTTTACTGTTTGTTTTTTTTACTATAAGTGTACCACTTTAGCCATAAGTAGAAATCTCCTAAAGGTGAAAACCTCACTGGAGAAAACAAACAAATATTTGGCTTTGAAATATATTAGCCGACATATAAATAACAATTTCAATTAGTATCTGCATAGCATTGTGAGTGGGGGGTGCACTGGTGGGAGTGTTAGTCAGTTATCAAACCCATTAGGCAGAGAGCTGATCCTATAGGCTGTGAGAGTGTTGACATGTGGCCCAAGAGCTTTTTTTTTTTTTTCTTCTATTATTTGCACGCCACAAGCAGCATTAAATATGCAGCACAAATTCACAATTAGCAGCCACAGATATAGTGTGTAGTACTAGGCACAATAATGAGGCTGATTCAATGCAGCCTCACAGGGTTATCCTGGCACTGTGGGAGGAACAACCATACAGTACATGTTCTCACATGTTGACATGTCGCAGTGCGTGTGTTGTCATTTCAAGGAGAAGAGAAGTGTGTGCTCACACCAGCTCCGTCCTCTTCAGTGTCGTTTTGGGAGGTTTCAAAAGTCAACCACAAAAAAGTTGGTGAAAAATATCCTCCCTTAAAGTTCTGTCTGTTTGTCCGTCAGTACCTCCTCTTTCCATGTTTCCCGCCATCAGTCATGCAGGTTTTAGGCCGAAGAGCTGCATCATGGCAGAATAAAGATTAATCTCTTATTTCACTGTCAGATGCTTGACATTTTAAGCACTAAGATGGCATATTTTGAGTTTTTTATTTTATTTTTTTTACCTGGATCTGCGGTCTGCTTCTTCTTGTTATGATGGACTATCTGGTTCTCATTGGTCATCTTCACATCCTGATCCTCCACATAATTACTGCAACACAGCAAAAAAACAAAGACACAGCACAGATAAGTTGATTTGTTGTTCTAAAAGAGAACAAGTAGAGGGAAAGGACAGAACATGGAGGTTGGACTGATAACAAATCTTGAAGGTGGCAGGTCCAGGCCTTGAGACGAGGGGTGGGGCTAAATATGAAGGAGAGAGATAAAGAGAGAAGGGGGGGGGGGGAGGACTGGGACATCACAAGTAAAGTGTGAGAGAAGCAGGGAGAGAGATGGCTGGGGGGGGGCATTCGAGGGCACTGGAGGAATCTTCAGTACTGGGATGGACCACCAGGAGGTGCTCTGTTACTCACTGTTGGTGGCGTCTGCTGCCGCGGAGGCTGAGGTGGAGAAGAGCATATCTCCGTTTATGAAAAGTCACTACTTTGAGATACTTCGGCTGAATATCACTATAGTTTGTCGACCAATTTGATATGACAAGCCGTTTCCAAGGTGATGACCTCAGTGACCCACTTTAAAACCCAAACTAGTGGCAGCACCTAAATCTTATTGAACAACTATAACATCCACATTTTAGATTAAGATGAAGTATTTCCCAATATATCTGTGTTTGATCAAAATAAAAACTATATTTGGAAGTGGTCTTACAGCAAATTAAGGGCAAATAGTTCATTTTTGTAAATTATATATATATTACAAAACATACATTTTGCACACTGTTGGATTAAGTCTTATTAAGTGTTGACATGGTCAGAAAAGTGATATTTCTATTTTATATGAATTCATTATATGAAGTCATGGTGGTGTACTGGAGTGCAATATATACTGTAAAAAAGATGTTCCTTTGATTCTGCCTGCTCTATTAACATGAATGAAGAGATCAAAGTATTAAGAACACTTTTCTATATAATGCAGTCAAGTACACTACCATCATCCACTACAACTTAAATTATAATATATATATATAAATACAGAGTAGAATGATCACCTATCTGACCATGTCAACAAAAAACTGAAACAGCAGACGCTTCATGAAAGTAGAACCGTTGTATTAGCTCGCTTTGGATTACAGAGGTGGTCACAGTGTTCTGGCTGATGAAACTTCCAGGTTACCTGATGACAGTGTTCCTCTCCCTGTGTGCAATATAGGCGTTGTCTGTGAACAGGATGGTGTGATAGGGCACCAATGAATCACAGGTGGGCAGAATGCCTCGCGCCACCTGGCACACACAGTCCAGGATACCATTATACACCAGGAGGTCGTCCACCAGCAGCTGCACACACAAACAAACACACACACACACACACACACACACACAATGATTTTTTTTTACTAGAGATACATTTTTTTTAAGATGTATGTTTCTCGTTTGATAGTACAGATTTTAAAGTGACATGAAATGTGGGGGTCAGAGTGGTGCATGAAATAGCATCAGCATTGGGAATTGAACTTGTGACCAGTGCAGGGGCGTCGTAGTGGGGGAAAGTGGGACTGACTACCCAGGGCCCTAGTGGGGAGGGGGGCCCTTCATGGGCCTGAAATAAAAATGTATTTCTTATTTTGATTTTTTCTCTAAGTTATAACCGCAATAAGATAACTAAAATTGTCTGAATAAATAAACAAACATTCAGAATTCCTTTCTGGAAAAAATGTGGAGTCTGTCTCAAAGGCCCCTCTCCCCCCCTTCTTCAACTGTCTGAAAGGTGCATATATTACAAAGTTTAAATTATTTTTAAACTATGAGGAAATATTACAGTGATTATTTATCTTCCATGTTCAGGGTGTAACAAAGCATAGTTGTTCAAAGTTTTTATGGGTCATTTGTGGAGGTGCGGTCATAGAAATTTCCGGGTTAGTTTGGGCCGTGGTAGGGGCCCAATGTGATATCTTTTCATGGGGCCCGGAGTTCCTGGCGGCGCCCCTGGACCAGTGTGAGGACTGCAGCCACTATGCATGTGGCGTCCGCTCTACCTACTAAAGCGAACCAGCGCCTGACAATATACATTTTTAAGACAGAAAAACTGATTTCTAAGCTCACAGCAGACATCTTACCCCAAACTCCTTCACTCCCCTGTGTGGTGTCTTCGAGTAGTTCCACAGTTTGATCATGGACACTGTCACCGGCTGATCAAAGATGACGTACACACGGTTCACCTGTGAGGGAACAAGCCATGCACTGAAACAAACATGGAGTGGAACAGTCTCTTTACTGAGACGCTTAATGGATTGCACTGTGTCCACTTGTTATCTCTTTATGTCCTCACCAGTCCAGGAAGCACCGGGGCTAACCACATATGTCTTCCATCGTGGGTGCTGTCCTCACCATCTATTAATTTATCTGGAGTCCGCACATCACCGCTCACATTGTCCAGCACGTTCACGCTGTCGGGAAAAGCAGCAATGTCTGGTAGACGTTGAGGAACAGACTGAAGCGCATACACAATAAAATTCCTCTAACTTAATTTTTTACAGATCAGGTCAATCAGTAACTGTAGTTAGATGAAAACAGTTGAGATTGTATAACAATTATGCAACTAGTAACTTAAATTTAGTGACTTTGAAATCATAATCAAAATAATTTTTTGCTGTTTATTAACACAACAGACTCATAAAGTGAAAGATTATTGTGATATATTTGAAATAGTGAAGATAGTTTAGGAAAGGATACTGTTTTCACTGAGGTTGATCTTCTCGTGGTTCTGGTCGTAAAACTCCAGACCATTGAGGCCGATGTAGTACGGGTCTCCCCAGGTTGTTAACAGCTGCAGCTGGAAGATGACTGACGGTGGAGGTCAAGGTCTTAACAACATGTATGACATACATCAGACACAGGCTGTATCCGATAGGGCTTTCACACAGGCGGAGAACTCCTGAAAAACCTCCTGATGTTTCCAGGAGGAGCTGTATGTGTGAATTCAAACAGACTTCACCCGGGGGTTTCTACTGCCAGCCCCCGAGTGAGCTGATGATGAACGCAGCAGGATACTCTACATAGAATTCACCTTGAGCCAGTAGGAGAGGGTGGTCACGTTTATATCCTGTGACTACGCATAGCATTGATGTAAAGGCAAATATTACCATTATAGCATTGTAAAGCGGACTCTGTTGCTTCGTCCACTACTTCCGCATTTAATTTTTTTACATGTCGTCTACACCCTAACCCCACCTCACAGCGGGTGAATTATTGAACAGCCAGGTCAGGAGAATATCTGGACCAGTCCTCCTGAAATTATCGAGATATTTTCAGGAGTGCATATGTGAAAAAACAGCTCAAGTCCATCCTTATGAAATACAAAAAGCTCAATTTCATTCTTTATTTTTTAATTTCAGTGTCTGACCTGCAAGTTTGGACTTAAAATTCTTCAAAATACCCTCCAATTGTTTTTGGTTCTGCTAAATAAATCTCACCTGCAATTTAAAAGGGATCCAAAATGCTAATTTGCTTTCATGCAATTAATACCAGAGTGATATATTATTAGTATTAGAAATAGTGCTCTAGAGCCCACTATAGCATAATGCGTTTCAACATGACCAACGAGAGATTCTAAACAAAACTTTTAATCAAAAAAAACATCAAAACACATAAATGAATGACACATCTGTAATATATCTGCTCAATCCATGTGAAAAGGATACAGCCACAAGGCATGATGGGAGCTTCATAATCCATACTGGCCTGCTCCTGTTTCTTAGAGCTTCCTCTGAAAAAGAAACGTTGACATTATGAATGAGTAAATTCAATTATTTAAAACTTTGTTATGAAATAAGAGAACATGTTAACTCAATGTGTGGCGCCTACTTGTGGTAGTCCTCTGCACCCTGGTTGGCAGGGGGCTTGTGGAGGAAATCTATGAAGAGGATTTCCTGAGCGAAGTCAAAGTGACAGTTGCCTGGTCCTTTCCGAATCAGGAAGCCGTCGGGCGGAGAGATGGAGACATCGTCCACGAACATGTGAACCACCTTCACCTGAACAAAAGATGCAGATTTCTACTAATGTGTTTCATGTGTAGTTTAAAGCACCCTACAGAGAATGTAAACAACATATCATCTTCTTTCATTATTTCAAAGGAACTTGTATTGCTCTCGTACTGACCACACCTTAACATCTAGTATTGATGGGCATTAACTTTTTATTTGTAAGGAAACATGTTCAATATTAAAGATAAATGTTGCCATTTGATGCATTGTAGCAGAGTTAGCCTAGAGCTAGTTTACATCTGCAGTCCCTCGGCAGGTCACAATTAAAACATCACAGTAATACAAACATAACACACACACACACACACACACACACACACACACACACACACACACACACACACACACACACACACACACACACACACACACACACACACACACACACACACACACACACACACACACACACACACACACACACACACACACACACACACACACACACACACACACACACACACACACACACACACACACACACACACACGTTTTCTGTAACATAGACAAATGTATTTCATATACATAACATTTGTGCATAAAAATTCAACAGAAAATTCAGTTAAAGGTGCACTATGGAGTTTTGGTGGTGAAATTTGAAAGTTGGAGAAGTGAAACAATTCTATGCTATCTTTTCTGAACTGAATACACAAACTTTATTCAAAGAAAATAATGGGTCCCTGAACACTGTTTGGAGTTTAAAAGCGACCAGGAGAGTTACACTTTCACTATTGGGGGCCCACCATCATAACTTCCTGCATATAATTTTATCTTCAAACAGTGTTCCAGGAACCCCATTTTCCTCTGAGGAAAGATTGTGTATAGAGTGATGGACATATACCATATAATCTGTACACTTCTCCAACTTTCAAATTTCTCTACCAAAACTACATAGTGCAGATTTAAAGTCCATCTTAATGAAGTAGAAGAGAAGCGGCCCTGGTTTGGGTTGTCAGAAAGTGTCTCACCCCTCTGTACGAGTCCTCGGGGGACTTGTTGTAGTTCCAAATACGGAGTCCTGCGATGGTCTGGGTCTTGGTAAATGTCATGTTTAAGACGTGGGGCTCTCCATAGGAGAAAGGGATCAGCCACATGTGCTGGTCGTCAGTGGTTATATTGTTGCCATCTATAAGCCTGGGTAATAAAAGCAGACACAAGAAAATTATGTGTTTTAAGTTTGGATTTAAAAGAAAATAATTTTTTAGGGAGGGGGAAGAGCATGAAGACATTTATATGAATTATGTAATTAAGGTTATTCTACTACTACCACACCTTTTATACTGAGAGTCAAAAAGAAAAGGAGCACACAGGGTCAGACGTACTTATCAAGTGTTCGCAGGTCGTGTCCGTACTCAGGCAGGTCGTTGAGGTCTCTGGGCGAGGCAGCCATCATACTGAGGTCTAAAGGTAAACTCTCTCCATCCTTCCCCACCACCTCCAGTCCTGTCAGGCCCATGTAGTGAGAGTCCCCCCAGGTCAACACCAACTCTAGTCTAAGGCCTGCAGTGGAGGGAGGGCGAGAGTTGCTGTAGGTCTCACAAAAAAAAAAAAGAGTACAACTGCTGAGATGATGCTAAATATCTACTCACACTTTCCAGTATACATCCCAGGATGGAGCTCCATGTTCTCCTCACACTGGCTCACAGAGGGGTTGAGGTGGAGTTTAAGCTAAAAGAACATGTGAAGAGATTCATGTCAGAACTGTTTCATGCTTTCATGCTGCCTTTATACTTACATTAACAAGCAACTCATGAAAAACCTTCTTTACCTGGAGATCTTCCTCTCTGAAACCGGCCTGTGTGAAGGGTCTTTCCTCTCCCTCTCCGTCAGCGGTACGTGGCCTCTGCAGCTCCTCCTCACACACCAGACCCTCTGGACCCTCGCCTTCACTGAGAAAGGTTTCGTCGTAGCGAGACATTGCTTCGAGGATGTCGTCGTCGGTGGTGAACAGGATGGTGTCACCGAACTGGTCCAGCCCTGAAATGATGGCAAAGTCAGGAAAAGAGAATAAAAAAAATAGACACACAATGGAAAAATAAAATTTAAGGCTGTTTTTGTTTTCCTACCTCCTGACAGGGTCCCAGAGGCCTTGGCGATCTCGCCCCTAAAGATGCAGCGTCCGTCCAGCAGCATTTCCACCTCCTTGACCCCTCTGAAGGAGTGAATGCGAGACTTGTTGTAGTTCCACACCGGATCATGGCCACCTGGTGAGAAGCTCCAAAGTCCAGGAAGATGGTGTGGTTTCGACCAGGGGTGAACGGTGCAAGCCAAAGGTGCATGTCATCCTGGGTACGATTAACCCCGTTGATCAAGTTGGTGACAACTCGTGGGTCTTTGCCGTATGCGGGGAGGATGTTGATGTCTGGAGGGTCAGCACGGATGTGAGCGGGCTGTAGTGGCTCTCCACTGGAACTGAAAACCTCGAGCCCATTGAGGCCCACATAGTGGCGGTCGCCCCATGTGGACAGGATGTTGACGATCAGCCTTTGGCCGTGTGGCAGCACCGGGATCTCAAACTCATCCTCCCGCTCCATGGACGGATCATCTTCAGGGTTTTCACAAAGGGCCCCCTGATCCGTAATGGAGGAAACCGGGCTCCTGGGTGCTGCGAAAGGGTTCATCTGGACTGTGGGTGGACCACGTCCCTGCCTCTGGAGGAACTCATCAAAGATGTCCCCCTCGAAGCCCATGTTGGAGATGCGTCCACGCTGGCACTGGTTGAACTTGGTGAGAGAGTCCCAGGACTCCATGAGGGTGTCGTCCTGTTGGCTGTGCAGCTGAGAGCGAGCGGCATTCTGCCTCCTGCTGGTGCTCACCAGTGACATCGGCTCCTCTGGAGAATACAAACATACGCTTTCAATTACTGTTCAACTAAAGGAACTACGATAACCATTCAATGACTGTTCACTTTTGTAATACTGTAATCATAACAGAAACACACAATCTGGACAGCAACAGGCACAAACCAACAGTTATCTAACCTCTGAATATAGCCAAGTCACAAGGTCATGTTCTGATATTCGCACACACATACCCACCCACCCTCTCCTGGTAATAGACCAGTTGTCTGTCCAAGAAACTTCTACGACATGGTCTTTATATAGCACACATGTTGTAATTGCCCAGCGTGATGATTGGGATGTTATAAAAGAAATAAACAGAACCTTGATTCACAAGCCATAGTCTCTCTGTCTGGTTGTTCAAGAGCATTTACTCTTCTACAATACTAGCTCAGGTTATGGTAAATGGTAAATGGACTTGAGATTATATAGACTTTTCTAGTCTCCCGACTACTCAAAGCGCTTTTTACACCGCATGTCACACCTACACATTCACACACTGATGGTAGTGATCACTATGTAGTATCATCCATCAGAAGTAACTAATCACATTCATACACCACCACTGAAGCAGATGGAGCAATTCAGGGTTAAGTGTCTTGCCCAAGGACACATCGGACATGTTGCCCAGCTGGGGATCGAACCCTCAACCTTCCAGTTGAGAGGCGACGACTCTACCAACTGATCCACAGCCGTGGAATATGTGAATATTTTGTATTAATTGTTTTGTATTGTATTTGACTTATTTTAGTTTCTGATCTGCTCATCTGAAGTCTGTTCCCCTTCTATTCTCTTATCAACGCACGCACGCACGCACGCACGCACGCACGCACGCTGTGTTTGACCATCATAACTCCGAGGTAGCAGCCTCTCCTACCTGTGTTTGTCTGTGCAGTAGCATGGAGGTGCTGCTCGTCTGTCGGTCTGGCGCTCGCTGTGTTTCGGACAAAGCTCCTGCGTCCGCTGACTGGCCTGTCGGGCTTCTGCTCTCCGAGCTCCTCCAGCAGGTCAGAGCTCAGGTCCACAGAGTTAGTCTTCCACTGACCCCCGTTTGTTGTCCTCTCCGTCCCCCTGCACACTCGAGCCGGGTTGCACGGCAGCTCTGGGAGCATCGAGGAGGACGAGGAGGATGATGGCGATTTGGGCTCTGCTGAGTGTTGGGGCACCAGCCACCGTGGCTTCTCCCTGCCGGCCTCGCAGCCCTCTGGAGCTCCTCGGTTCAGGGGCTGCAGCCACTGGGGAGCAACCCGTGTTGACGACGGCTGGGTGGTGACAGTCTGCTCCATGGGAGCAGGCGGCTCCGACTGATGCCTGAGAGAAAGGGGCTCCTCGGACAGATCGAAAGAGCTTCTCTGTGTGGAGGAGTGGCGAGCGGAGGAAGTGGGAGTGATAGGCGGTAGAGGTGTGTCCATCATATCCTGGCCTGCTGTATCTGAGGACTGCTGAGTGGAATTTGGGAGTCTCTGGATGCTGCTGACCTCCACACCCCTCTTGTTGTCATGGCGCTGGGGGCTCGCCCCTCGTAGACTGTGTCCTGAAGACACAGGGCTGGAATACAAGGAGTCTGACACCTGGAAGTCCTTGAGGTCAATCGTGGTGCTGTAGTCAAAAACCTGGTTGCCGCAGCCCTTCTCCAGCTCGCCTTCAAACACCAACGTGCTGTTCAGGTACAGCTTTATGTGCCGGGCACCAATGTCAATACCCTAAAAAAGCATGAATGGGACATTAATGTACATGTTTCTATATTTATTTAATTCTATATTTTTTTATTTTATGTGTTTTCTCTGTTGTGTCTTGGGATATAAAAGTAAATATCTCATGTTATCCTGATTTCACTCTTGAAAAGTGTAAACTAAGTTAAATGTTATGGTATTATTTTGGTTGGTAAAAACTTGTAAGTCTGACTGATGGAAAGCACGAAAGCAATAAAAATAATTATTAAAAAGAAAAAAAAAGAAAAATCCTAAAAAAGAAAAAAAGAGCTTCAATGACCAACAAAATTAAATGAAGTCAGGTTTAACAAATGGCACAAAATGTGAATTCTGGTACCAACTTACGCTACAAAAATGTAGAATTATTGAAGATTTCATTATCTGATGTTCAAATATCCTTTTTTAAGAATGGACAGGAGATGCAAATGAATGAAACACAGGACTGAGTTTTAAATGGCATCACATGGAAGTATTTAGCATTTTATACTATGTATTTGTTGTACAGTGAAGAACATAATTCTTATTCAAGCTTAAAACACACTGCAAGCCCTAAAGCACTCAGTCCATACATGCAAAGCTAATAGTAATCAGAGCTCTCACAGACATGGCTGCCTCAAAGAAAGGACTCAAGCCCAACTCAAATCTGTGCGATCTTCAAGGTAGTAAACCACTTTAACCAAGGTTAAAATAAACCCTATAACAGCTCCTTACCTTCCTGGATCAAGACATCAAGTAATTCTAGACGGCTGAGGTAACATAGAAAGAGATAGAGCGGGGGTCTTTCTGTGTGTGAACAGCATTAAGGCCGAGAGGCAGAAGCCCGCGGTCCCCCTAAACGCTAATCCTTTGAATCTAATCTCTCGTTGTTCCACATTTGGACAGTCTGACTGGCAGCTCAACTGACCACTGCTAACAGAAACCACACCCCTGACATGATCACGCCTCCACAGTTGAGCTTAGTACAGAGACAACACAGAAGCATGCTGGATTTATAAGATCTAGTGCCACAGACAGCAAGGGGGATAAATCAAATAATGTGTGACAAGTTTAATCAAAAAGCTTACATTGTATGAAAGTGAAGCATACATGAATAATAAAAAAAAAGCACATACATTTAGGCTTCTGTTGTAGTTCCAGATTTTGATGTGAGATATTCCAAAGTCAGGGGAGCGCTCTGTGTTCCTGATGATGAAGTACAGCTGGATGGGAGGGTGGAACGGACACGCCCACATGTGACGCTCTTTGGTGGTCTGCCGATACAGAAGGGAAAAAAAAAATAGTAAATGCTTTGTTCATATAAATAGTGCACAGCAGACAGGTACAAAGCATGATTAAAATTAGTAACATGATTGATGGCTGCATCATTTCTCGGTTTTTAAAGATTCAGGGTCTTATCAAAGGGCTCACTTGATCACAGGCACTACCTACTGGGACTCGGAAAAAAGGAACTGATCCGTAATGTTTGTTGTCCCACTATGACAAGTAGAAATATCTGCAGTGAGAAGCCTCATTATACTTTCACTTTGATCCATGCAAACAAGAACACTGAACCCAGGTCATACAACGCTAATTTTAATGTTTATTGCAGATTACGTTCATGAGGCAGAAAGTATTCCAGCATTACTCCAGAAGCAGGCAGCTGACACTGACCTTCATCTTTCCATTGACAAGGGACCCCAGATTCCCGGGGTAGTCAGCGTTCCTGATGTCCAGGTCGTGAGGCGAGACATACAGCCTCTTGTTTCTGAGGCAGAAAAACTGCAACTCAGTCAGCCCGACCTGCAGAGCGTTCCCCCAGTTTGACAGGATCTCCATGGTAACATACAACGCAGGAGTGACCTCGATTGAAGACTGGTGTCTCTGCAACGACAACAGGAAACATTGACAAGTACTTCAGTGCGCGTGTGTCTCGTTCACACTCAGCAGTATTGGGATAATTCATTCTGAAGTGTGAGACACTCGTCACTGACTCACCGGCTGCTTGTTAGAATCTGTTTTGACACTCTGAGATATGTTGTTGCTGGGTGATGCTTCAAGTTTCTCCAAGGCTTTCAGCAGCTTCTGTTGTTGTCTGAACAGAAGGATGACACCATGAGATCTGGTGTTTGGTCATTTATCCCTGACCTTCAGCCATTAATGTTGATTGATGGCCGAGCACACTCGCGCTGACATATGTCTCTCAAGGTCAAAGGGTGTGAACACCATACATTTCTTCATATAGTTTCAATTAAACACTATGACGTTATTATTCTGACATTGCAGGATGCACGGTTGTACAAGATTACTATGACAAGTACAGACGTCCCTCTGTCACTCAGAAGTCAGAACATACATGCACGTTCCGTATCGTCTCAGCATACCTTTGTCCCATGAGTGTTATTCTGTTCATTGCCATGGTGACACTGTTCTCATCTTGGTCATGGCTGTTGAGGCGCACCGAGCCATTCATCATCAGGTGTCCCCTGCCCTGGATAAAAAAAGGAGGCAAAATTTAAAAAAGATACAAAAGCTTTAAATGCGGGGCTTACATGTGAGACAAATTCAGAGCACTATAGTTGTACGGGCAGCATCATGTTAAGTTAAAAGGGCATATTAAAAAAAAGTTAAGGAAGGCCCTGTGAAACGCTAAGGAAGTCTACTACTTATGACTAATAGAAGAAAAAAACAAACCATGGTGTCTCTACAGCACTTGTACGTACCCTGTACTGTTACTGATGAACTGATTTCCTTTTACCTTCCTTAAATTATTAATAATAATACATTTTATTTAAGCGCTTTTCAAAAACTCAAATTCACTGTACAATAGTTAAAAACAGAAAGAACAGCACAGTAAGGACAGACTAACAGACATTGCAACATTACACACAAATAAAGATAACAACAATAAGGTAAACTACAGAAAACAGGAAATACATCACAATCATCCATTAAAAGTTTAAAGAGGTGAGTTTTGATCAGTGATTTGAAAGTAGGAGGGTCGGTGCAGTGTTGAATGTGTGTAGGGAGTGAGTTCCAGAGGGAGGGGGCAGCTATGGAGAAGGCTCTGTCCCCACAGGTTCGGTGCTTGGTTCTAAGGGGGGGAGATAGGAGGTTTTGAAGAACGGAGGCTGCGTGCAGGAGTGTGAGGGTGAAGGAGAGCCATGAGGTAGGAGGGGCCTGGTGGTTAAGGCTTTATGTGTGAGAGAAGATTTTGAATTGGATACGTAAAGGACAGGGAGCCAGTGGAGAAATTAAGAGTTACTCATCAAAATCCTCAAACTGTCTCTTAACCTTAGTCAGCACTTCTTTAATAAATATGACCAATTAACCCTGACTGATTAGCAGCAGTAGCTCAGTCTGTAGGGACTTGGGTTGGGAAATGGAGGGTCGCCAGCTTGAGCACTGCTGAGTTGCCCTTGAGCAAGGCACTGAACCCCTAAACAGCTCTGGTGCACTCCTTGCATAGCAGTGTGTAACAGCCCCACTCTGACATCTCTCCACTAATGTCCCCAGGTCTTGTTTGTGCATGTGCGTGTGAGAAGCATGACTCTCAATAACAGAGTGTAAAGCAGAATTAAAATGATCCATACTGGCCACGTGGTGCAGAGACAACAACCTCTTCCTGAACGTCGACAAGACCAAGGAGGTTGTTGTCGACTTCCGGAGAGTCCCCACTCCTAAACCCCCACTGACCATCGACAGTGCTGCTGTGGAGAGAGTGAGCAGCACCAAGTTCCTGGGGGTTCACATCAGTGAGGATCTCTCCTGGACAACCAACACCACATCACTGGCCAACAAGTCCCAGCAGCGCCTCTACTTCCTCCGCAAGCTGAAGAGAGCACGAGCCCCCCCATCCATCATGTACTCCTTCTACAGAGGCACCATCAAGAGCATCCTGACCAGCTGCATCACTGTGTGGCTTGGGAGCTGCACTGCTGCCAACCGCAAGACCCTGCAGCGCACAGTGAAGGCTGCTGAACGGATTATTGGTGTCCCACTCCCCTCTCTTCTGGACCTCTACGGTACCCGCCTCACCCGCAAAGGAACCAGCATTGTGCATGACCCCACCCCCCCCTCACACAGCCTCTTCAGCCTCCTGCCATCGGGGAGACTGTACCGCAGCCGGCTCCACCAGACTGGGAAACAGCTTCTTCCACCAAGCTGTCATGAAGCTTACCTCTCTCCCCTCTCTTCCTTCCCTCCCCTCTGCCCCCACAAACACTGGACGTTGAAACCCCCTCCCGTTTGCCACCAAGAACTCTGGACTAATAACTCTGAAGCTAACTATTCAAAAGTACACTCAGTTTACTGCACATTGCACAAGTTTACAGAACTCTGGACTAATAACTCTGAAGCCAACTATTCAAAAGTACACTCAGTTTACTGCACATTGCACATATTGCACAAGTTTACTTTTTCTTTAAAATTTATTTTATTTATTCTATTTACCATTTTGTACCTTTTGCACAATTTAGAATTTATTACTGTAAATATTATTTATCTTATTTTTCCCCCATTTTATTTTATCTATTTTACCTTATCTTATTTTACCTTATTTTGGTTGTATTGCACCGCGGGACGGAGACAAACACAATTTCGATTCCACTGTATGTCTGGCATATTTTGAAACTGACGATAAAGTTGACTTTGACACATATACCACATACCACAGTCATTTCAAGTAGCTGTAACTGAACCTCGTCTTAAAAAGCTTACTCTTGATTCAGGCACATTAGCTAAATATAACAAATATCTAACCGTCCCCTTCTTTTGATGATCCTCAGGAAAGCAGGTGACAACGAGGTGTTTGACTTTCATCACAGACATTGTTTATTTTTAGCATCATTGGTGGAGCGCTAGAGTCCACCAAAGCGCTAAGACAACACTGGTAAAACTTAACAGATGATCTCCTGCTTGCTTCAGATGAAGAACTCCTCTCTTTACTTTAACTCTCTCATTCAACCATCACATCTTGTGACACAGACTGAACACTTAACTGGAAATAAACAAACCACACTGAACTAGAATAAAGCCGATTTATCAGACCAACCTCTGTTTGTACACATTATCTATGAGTCCTAAGTTAGGGGCAGAGTTCCACAAGGCTAGGTGGCACCAACCAGTTCTATTCGACTTCCTCTTGGTAGCTTTTTCATTGTTATGCAGATGATACCAAGTTATACCTATCAATGGCCGAAGATTTCTGCCTTTTAATAAGGCTGTTTTTTCTTACCACTGTTAGCTATGGCTGCTTCGCTAAAGTGCTCATACTTTTACCTGCTTTTTGTAATATAACAATGAGTAAGGTCTTTTACCTGCTTTTTGTAAAGTGTCTCCAGATAACACTTGTTATGAGTTGATGCTATACGAATAAAAATTGATTGATTGATTGAATGGGGCCAGACAAGGCCGACCGCTAAACTCAAAACAGGCATTAAGGACATAAAGACCAGAACAATCAGCAATGTCTGCTACGAAATTCACACAAAACTTATTAACTTGTGCTTCTAAAAACCTTAGAAACAAACATGAATGTTCTTTGAGAGATAGCATTAAAAAAAAACTACTAGCTGTAAAGAAAATGTTTTGTAATTAAAGATGTCCACAGTTAAGTAGAGGCAATTACTGTCTGACATACCGTGTTGCTACTGAAGAGATCCAAACTCTGCATGGGCTTGTTCTCTCTCTGGATAGCCTGGCGTACCCTGCATGCCATGTCCTCTGGGTCCCGCTCCTCAACGGAAGCCTTTTTGGCTGCTGACAGAGGCCTCTCCACTCGACTCCTTGGCCCTTCAGAAGAAAGCGTGTGGTTTATCTGAGTACAACTGACTGTAATATGAGAAGAAGATCATTTCAACAACAGTATTTGTTACCAAATCGATAGTAAAGTCTGTCAGAGGGCTACGCATGTACTCAAAGAACTGAAGTTCCATCCAGTAACCAAACAAAGCATTCTGGAACTGAGTTTGTCTAAAGCCTGGCTCACACTTTGAGATTTTTCCACAATTGTATAAAAGTCAGGGTGGCATGTCAGCTCACACTGTACGACTGAATCGTTTACGACGCCCGGCCAGACCTTGAGATTGATGTGCTCACACTGTACAACCCGATTGTCGGGCACGGCCGGAGAGCTCACACTGTACGAGTGAAATCGGGACGGAGCGTTGACAATTGTTAATAAAGTTTCATTTGAAAAAAACAAAGGACGACGGTTGGTGAAAGAGAAGGAAGTGGAACTTGTTGTTGGATATAGAGAAGTTGATACAATCATAGATGGATGGATACAAGTTTCAGAAAAGTGCTGCACTGATGATCTGTACTGAAAAGTAAAAAAATAACAAAAAAACGTCGGGTTGCGTCCTGCCGCTGGTCACCATGACTACAGTCCTCTCTTGTCTCTCCTGATTATATTGTAGTACACACAACTTCTGCCGGACCCTTTCATGACGTAAACGTCAAGATTTTAAATTCTAATTATCAAACATGTTTGAAATAAATCGGGGTGTCCATGGGGGTCAGATCTAAAGGAGCATTCAACAGCATCCGAAGCTGCTGTTAGATCTGACAAGAGGATCTTTTTTTTCTCTACAATGCTAGTTAAGGCGGAGGGCGTGTGTTGTTAAAGCGGTTGCCTTTACTATAAAGCGCTTTGGGAAACACTGAATACCATATTCTTGAATATTTGAGTTTGTTTATCTAGATCTCAGATTAGCACTGGTTTCAAATTTAAAAAGTGTTAAAAGACTTACTCTGACCATCCCAGCTGTCTCTGGAAGGTGGCCTATCTAATGTCTTGCTCTTCACTAACATAGGCTTGGTAGGTATAAAAGGGTCGATGCTTTCTTTCCTTTTTGCTGACAGGGAGCGTTCAATCTTACGACCTGTCATGTGGAGAAAATGACACAGAGGAAAACTGTCAGAGTGGGAATACAGTGTTAGTCTGCATGCATAAAAGGCCTTCAGTCTTTCTATATCCCATCAGTTGACTAATAGTTTAGGTGTGCACAGACAGGTGCAGGTCTGTGCTGATGAAGCATATTAAGAGGAGAAGGGAACCACTACCAGGACTCACCCTAGAAATCAACGATAAATTCACATATGAAAGAAGCCAACGCCTACCTTTAGGTGAGGGCCCAAAGTCCAGGACGATGAGGTTTGCCGAGTCAAGATCGCTGCTGGACCGAGACGGTGCTGGGTTGGAGGACGACTTGGAAGACGAGAGAGGCAGTCCCAGTTCGTCCAGACTCTCAGTGCTCTCATCCCTCTCGATGTGCTCCTCCACCCACTCCTCGTCTGACTCCTCCCCCGCTGAGCCGCGGTTGCTCCTCCGCATGCTAACCTCCAAGCTCCTCCGCAGGACCTAGTGTAAAAAATGTCAGTGTTTTTTGTGTGTCATCCATGGACACAGTCATCAGTTTGAGCACTGGAAGGTGCAAACACAAACACACATGCTGACAGTTTAAGTGTGCTCTTGATTTGTGCAGTCATCATTAAAAAAATTAATTAACATACAGCAGAAGAAAAAAACCCCTAGATAATTAACTTCATCTCATGCTTCCTTAACAGGATACAGCAGAGCATGGTGCACATTTCTTCCTCTCCTTACCTTCACTTCCTCGAGGTTGAGTAGCACCTTCTCACCGTGCTCCTGGCTCGCCTGGCCTCCTTGGCTCTCGGGCCTGGAGCTGAAGGAGCGTGACGCCTTGGAGATGTCCCTCGGGGAGCAGGGACTACGAGTAGAGTGCAGACTGGAACTCTGTGTGAAACAAGGATGATTGGATGAAGTGGAAATGGCAAGAGATGGAGAGATGTTAAGTAGTACAGACAGCTGCATCTGACACACAGCCCCTCCCCGGGAAAAAATAAAAACACCCACACACAGGCTTAGTAGGCATTGTTATGACTTCACTCTACCTCCATGTCTATGCTTTCATAGGGCTCAAAATCCTCCGAGTAGTGTTTTTCTGGTGAGATTTTCAAACTTGGTCCTTCTTCTGTTCGAATTCTGACAGAATCCTTTCCGACATGACAAAAGAGGAAAAAGTTTAATATGTGTACTTTCACACGCAGTAAAGAATCAACAGTATCAAGAGCGATTCATTCAAAGCCTCTACCTGCACCCATTCTTTCCTTTGGACCTTTCCTGGGGCAGTGTGGCTCCTCTTCCTGTGGCTCTGCTCCAGATAACGGCTGTCTTCAGTTAGCTGGTGGGCGCTTCTACAGACATCTGCCAATGAGTAACAGCACAGAAAAGAACGTGAGCAGCTTGCAGTCAGACTGCTGCCTCAGAGGAGAAGGAACACAGATGGTCTACAGCACACAGAAGAGAGGAAGAACTAAGAACTGGCTGCCAGCTACAACTGTCACTATCATTTATTCACTGAGGACTGGGCATGAGATCGTGCCATGCACGATACAAGCTGAGGAGTGTTGGCTATTAGCTGCTCCTCCATGTGGTCTCGGGATGACAGAAACAGCAATGAAGGGTATGATGTGGAGCCTCGATCGAAGTTTAAAAAAAATAATAACTGAATACTCAAGAGAGACATTTCCCCTGCACATCAGAGGGATAAAAGAATGATGAGGTCTTACGTAAGAGTTTGGACTTGTGTAGGTTTATTTTGGTCTTGCAGTAGCGTACCTGCTGTACGTGCAGGCTGTCGAGCATGTGAGGAGGGGACAGACTTGTGGTCGGAGCTCTTGGGCTGCTTCCTACTGGCTTCAGCATTGGCTCCATTTAAATAAATTGAAAAACCTTGCTCAAGATGTTCCAACTCGATCTCCTTGGGGTCTTTGACTTTGAGGCGCTTTAGGATCCTGAGGAGGAAAGAAAATCAGTGACAACCCTAGACAATAATAAATTAAATCCTGGATTGTGTGACACGTTCAAGAACAATTGTTTTAATCTCCACTCTCGCACACTTTACACTCCAATTTGTATATCCAGATTTTAAAAAATAAATCCGTGCCGTTATTAAGCGGCAATAAAAAGTTGTGTGTCTCCTCTCTGTAATTCTATCGGCCCCTCCCAAGCAGTCTCACTATTCACCTGTTTTTGTGCTGGAGGGCGATTAAATATTCATCAAGAGTGTCATCTACAGCTGAAGCAAGCTTCTCTCCTTGGCACATCGGACTCTCCTTCAAGAACACAAGCAAAAGTACACACACTTATTATTCTGATACCTGTGTTACCGGTCTTTTTCCACTCCCCTTTGCGTTTATTTTGTTTCATTTTCACCTTCAGTTTATCTACTAATCCTACAGTGTGCATGCAGTTCAGTTATCTCCTTACGTTTAAGCCTTGGACTTCATCTGTTCGTAAGTAACAATGTCATGTATTGCTTGAAACGCATTTTCATGAAGAAATGTCTGTTTATGATGAAAATATTAAGCATCCAGATGTGAGTATTCACTGAGATCTGCTTTGCTAACGGCTAATTTGCTAACCTTGAAGTACTGTCAACGTGTGACTGCGACTTAGGTGTTCCTTTTTAAACGGAAACTGATCATTGTTCTTTGGTAGGTCTGCAGATCAACATGGCTTTGTCAACAGTAATGAAGTCTAACAGAGCTATAATTTCTGTAGCTTTTTATTCCGGCCCAACAGCCACAGTCAACAACTAAAACCAAGACATCCGCAACGTTACCAAGCCAACTCTCAGGGGAACAACATTTGTCACTGTTTCTTCTCAAAAAGGGAGGAAAAAAAATCCAAAGGAAAGAAGAAGATGGCCAGCAACTTCCAGCACATTGGACATGTAGATTGGGACCTTAGCACAGGCTTTGATTTGAGAACTTTGGACCCAGAGCTGAAGTTCTTGATCGACCTGTGCGGCATCTCTGATGCTCAGCTGAAGGACAAAGAAACCTCAAAGGTCATCTCCCACTTTATTGAGAAGAGAGGAGGTTTAGAAGCTGCCAAAAATGAGCTACGAAGACATGCTCATCCACTTCCTCCATCCAGTGGTGGCCCTCCTCCCCAACCACCAAACCAGGGTAACCATGACAACTCTCAGGTGAACAACACTGTGCAATCCTCCTTCCTGAAAAAAGAGAAAAAGGGCAAAGAAAAGAAGGGTGACCATGGCGGACGTGGCTCCCATCTCTGCACCCTCTCCATCCGAACCAGGCATATCAACTCCACCAGCTCCCCTGTCCCGCTGTGGCTCCTTCCCGCTTTCCAGACCACCACACCACACCCCAGCCCCTCATCCTCCAGCCCAGGGACGAGGTGCCCCTCATCCTCCAGCCCAGGGATGAGGTGCCCCTCATTCTCCAGCCCAGGGACGAGGTGCCCCTCATTCTCCAGCCCAGGGACGAGGTGCCCCTCATTCTCCAGCCCAGGGACGAGGTGCCCCTCATTCTCCAGCCCAGGGACGAGGTGCCCCTCATCCTCCAGCCCAGGGACGAGGTGCCCCTCATTCTCCAGCCCAGGGACGAGGTGCCTCTCCACGTCCTCTACCCAGAAGAGCTCCCATCTCTGCACCCCCTCAATCCCAACAAGGCATATCAACTCCACCAGCTCCCCTGTCCCGCTGTGGCTCCCTCCCGCTTTCCAGACCACCACACCACACCCCAGCCCCTCATCCTCCAGCCCAGGGACGAGGTGCCCCTCCATGTCCTCTACCCAGAAGAGCTCCCATCTCTACAACCCCTCCATCCCAACCAGGCATGTCAACTCTACCAGCTCTCCTGTTGCTCCCTCCCACCTTCCCTTTTATACATTTTTTTATTTTATTTTTACTTTTATTTTTATTGGTGCTATAGCATGAAAAACTGGTGACATACATGACAAACGAGGCAGAAAAGATCAAAGTAAACAACAACAACAAACAAAAGATCCCCACTCATATTTGCAGGAATGCTTCTCAGTTATAAAATCATACTCAGAACTGTCCAATTACTCAATTAACTGGTCAAAATCCACTCTCCTAACCTTCTGAACACAAGGGAGCCCTTCCACAAAGTTTCACCTCCTCACTGGTAATATTAAATATCTAGGAATCAACACCTCCCCCAAGCTGTCAGAGCTGTTCAACCTAAACTTCACATCATTACTGAATTCAATACAAGATGACTTAAATCACTGGACTAACTTACAGATTTCACTTTCTGAAAGAATATCAACAATAAAAGATTTAAGATTTACTTTGTCAAAAAATGTAAATTCTAAATTTCCAAAAATCAATTATTTGTATTGAATGATTCCCACCCAACCCATCACCCCCTGGCTCAAATGTCTTGACTCATTTATCTCAAAATTGTATTGGAAAAACAAAACTGTTTCAAAATGTCAACTTTACAGAAAGCTAAATCACAAGGGGGGGCTAGAGGCACCCAACTTTGAAATGGATCACCTGGCCAATCAACAAAATTTCCTTAAAAAAAGAAAATGGCTAAACCCCTCCCAACTTCAATCACACTGGATTGAAACTGAACAGACTTTATGCAATAATATAAACATATCAGACCTCCCATTTATCAGTCAAAACATCAAACATCATAACCGTTTCAAAAATATAGCCTCGGCTCTGACAGCTCGGTGGAAAGCACTCCACAGTCGCACCATCCACCCGCTCTCCAATGTGGAATAACCCAGACTTCACATTGTATCTCTCCTCAGGCATGTCAACTCCACCACCTCAAACATGATTTGATTTGATTTTTACACATAACTGCACACCTGCAGGTAAAAGCTATACACAAGTATTCTGCTCTGCTTACATCACATTTACATTCTCATTTGTAATAATGTGTATTTTTTTTTTACCAATGTGTTTTAATTGAAATGTACCAATCACTGAGGGTTTGTTTTTCTGAGAAGATACAGCAGGAGTTTCAACTACGTTTGGGTTCATTTAAAGTAGATGTGGTTTATGTGGTTTGCTGTTTTATGCATTCCTTTGCAGATAGGCAGTAGGACATGGAAGAGAAGTTTGCCAGCCACACGCTGTGATTTTAGGATTCTCTCAGGATGATGTCCACGTCTTGTGGTCATCCTGTTAGTGTAAGTGTTCTCCAGAAAAGAGTGCCTTGCTCTATTAGTGATGGACACTGGAATCCCAGTTCAGGGTTCTATGTTAATGAATTGATTTTCTTTTTGGTGCAAATCATGTTTAACTGTAATAAGTGGAACTTTGGAGCTACTGGGGCGGCAGTAGCTCAGTCTGTAGGGACTTGGGTTGGGAACCTGAGGGTCACCGGTTCAAGTCCCAGTGCGGACCATATCTGGAAGTTGGTCTGGTAGCTGGAGAGCTGGAGAGGTGCCAGATCACCTCCTGAGCACTGCCGAGGTGCCCTTGAGCAAGGCACCAAACCCCCTCCCCACCACCAGCTCAGCAGCGCCTGCCAGAGGCCGCTCCGTCACTCTGACATCTCTCCATAAGTGCATGTCCATAGGATCCTGTTTGTGCATGTGTGTGTATATTTCAGCCTATGTATGTTGCATGACTTACAGAGTGTAAAAAACAGAATTTCAAGAAAGTAAATCTTAATCTTTGTCTAATTGTCTCTCAGTTCTTCGGTGATTTGAAACCAACAACATTATTCACATTCACAAGCTGTAAACAACCTCATTATGTTCATCACTGAATGAATGCAAACAAACTGCTCCTCCAGTCTTTAGCACATGAAGCACTACTACAGAGCATGCAATGAGGAGAAACATTGAGTCAGTGAACGAGCTGAAAAAATATGTTGGAAAAGATGCATCCATCTGTGAAGGCTTGCTTTTGTTTCTGAACCTGACAGCTGATTTTGTTCATGATGATTTCTAAAAATTGGTGATCATTTGTTTACTCTCAAGGCCTGTAGCCTCTCAATTCAGAGATAAAATTGAGAGTGCACATGACAAAATGTACTGTTGGATAATTGCCCGAAGCTTCTGATTAAGGTTGGGCCAAGATCCCTGTGGAATATTTTTAACTATTTCGAGTCAATGATGTCTTGTCAAATGTAGGTGTTTATTTGTTAGGTGTGGGCACAAAAGAGTTAATAAAACAAGCGCTATTACATTGTGCAGTAGTGTGTTTTTTTGGCATTATACATACATTGCAGCACCAAATTCAAAAAAACGAAATTTAAAGGTATATCAATTTAAGACAGATTATTTCTGTTTAAAAGCCATGCTTAACTAGATTTAAATTAAACCTGACTCACTACTTTATGTCTTTATTTCTGTCGGTCTCTGTGTAGAAACGGTTTATTTTTCACTCTAAGCCAGCTTTATACTAAACTGTGTCTTGGATGGAGCATCTGTTGTCTGCGTTACAGTCACATTCAGCACATGCCATTTCAGTTTTATAAACAATCATGCAAGATGAGATAAGAATTCTCAAAGCGCTTACTCAAATAAACTAGGCTACAGCATCTGACAAGCAGGAGGGAAACAAAGAAATTGGAAGGAAGAACAGAGAGTACTTGTTAGTGCCAGAGTGTAGAAACAAACAAGAGACAGCTGAGACTTTGCTGTAAATATGGCATGCATTGTTGCTGTAAATGCCCAGAAAATCTTAAGAGCTCATACATGTGAATCAACTAAAATGACAGCTGATTTTTAACTCTCAGACATGGATCAGATCAATGATGACATTTAACGACGTTTGCTTACCTCGTTATCCATTTGGGAGCCTATGGATGCTGTTCACATAATCTGAACTGAGATTTTGGAGAAGGCCGAGAAGGGTTCCTCAGAGGTCTAATTGAAATGGATCTTGTGTTTCCTCTCCGCTGCAGAGATAACATGTATGAGTATCCCAAGGTTACCTGTGACATGACACCTAAACCACCTGGCAGGCAGCTCGTTTAAGATGTCGTCCACCCACGACGAAGATCAAACATAACACATTACCTGCTCTTTTCAAGACAAGCGCTTAACATCTTGATTCTCGAGGTTATCCAAAACATAAATCTGCCTAAGGTTACCTTTACGTGACCACCACACGTCGACGGTTGTTATATGAATTTTACATCATAAATAGCAATAGTGTTAGGCATTTCTGAATTAACGTAACACGGTTATCTTACTATTTTGTACACAGCCAGTACAGTTGTCGGATAACCTTTTATTGCACAAGTAAATGCCGGACGGGGAACAACGTCTACAAGCTGCCTAACAGCTCCGTTAGCACAGACGCTAACAACAAACGGAACGGCTAGTTAGCATTAGCATGTAGCTTTCTTGACAACATTAAACGCAACAAAAGCTTCGTTCTCACAGACTCGCACAACAGTATGTTAGCAATATTATATACCAGAAACGTACCGTCACCATAAACCATTAACTAATTATGTATTCTCTTTGGAAGTCGCGAGTTTTGCTGCGCTTTCTCATGTGTCCAGTGAGTAGTGTTGGTTAGTAACCAGGTCCACCAATGAAAACAGTCGCATCAGGGTGAGCCACGCCCCCAGCCTGTCCACTCCCTCCCTTTGCTTCTCCAGTGTCCAGACCAAGAGATCTGCCAAGCTGCACACATCTGGAGCACAGTGGTATGTCAATGAGCATGAAAAAGCAGGAAGTTTAAAAACTAAGAGAACTTATAAAGATTTCAATTTCAAACAGTCAAAAGTTCAACACTGTTTTTATTTATTATAAATCAATACATTTTATATAAAAAGGACAAAGAGGTCTGAAACAAAACCATTTTAGATGTAAACCAAACAGAGCAGGTTATGGCCACCCTTCTTTCCACACTGGACCCATATTGCAGACTCTTGATTAGCCAGCATGTCTAGTTAATACTCATTCACTCATTTCAAAACACCCTGGGCTATACTGTGAGTTCCACCTACAGTTTGAAAAGGTTTAAAATGGAAATAATGTGGTTGACATCAATCTCTCTGCAAAACATTGCATGTATAGCCACAAAGCATGCCATTGGTTTTTTGTGTACTCCATTACAACCATCACCAGCAGCAGTCAACATTATTTGTGGAGTATGCAGAGATTGTTTCTGTTAATATGGTAGTTCAGGGATGTGACTATCTTGAAGGCATGAAGGTAAACAATGAAAGCATTGTGAGGTGGCCCACTGTTAATGGTGATAAATTAATGCACCAAGACCTAGTTCAGCCAAATTGTTGTGTACCAGATTTCCTCAAATAAGGAATCCAAGAGAAAAGCCAGCATCATTGTGTCGTCAACACTTAACCGCTTCTTGAAAATAAGTGGACATTAAGATGGTTTATGCTAAAGGTCAAAGGAGCACAAACAGCTGCTTAAACATGCTAAAGTGCTAACTGCACGAGCAGCACTCAAATACTCAACGCAGAAGAGTGTGGGTCTGTGGAAACCAATGTTTTTTTAATGCAAATTACAATTTGTAGTAAATTAAAAATGGAATGCCCTAATGACAGAACTGTAATCCATTACTGCAATATTGCAGCCCAACAGTTGTAAAGGCAATATACTGTATGTGCAATCAATTAATATTCACAGCACTGCAAGATAAAAACATACAATCCATCGGCATTAGCTAAATCAAGTCGAGTTCCATGACCATGACACACGAATCTCGTATTTTGTAGATGCATAATTATTTGTCCACAGGTCTGCCAAATTTACCTTCTTATTTATTATCAACTAGTTCCTTGCACAAAAAATATAAGCAGTGTTACTTATTCAAAATTAACTGTCTATGTGATAAATGTGGGGAAGTTTATGGCTTTTTGACACCTGTATTGAAACCAAGCCTTTAATGAGCTAACTGCTGGGTTATGGTAGGTAGGTATATGTTAAAATGGACCACATGTCCAGTTACTAAAAACACTCATGGGAGGAGAAAAAGTAAAACAATAACTTAAATAGAAGTGCTTAAAACATAACAGTTCTTAGAGCCCTTTCAAAAACCAAAAAAACAAGGTTGCAAGCAGGAATCCCACCCGACAGAAAAGGAGAGCCAAATGAACAGCTGTCCTTGTAATACTAATATTCATCCAATGATTCACAGATGCACAGTTCACAGGTAGGTCACATCCTTCCCTCCCTTAAAAATATTGAATGTTTCCTGGTCAGTGGCCTCCCCACGTCTGTGAGCCGCGGCTTCCCTCTGTTTCATGTCTGTCTGTGGTGGGGGAACACTCTGTCTCAGTACACCTCCCCTCGTCCTCTCTCGCCTTCAGTGCCTGTTCCTCCTCTTTTTTCCTGCGCTCCAGCTCCCATTCCACGAACGTGTCAAAGAGGCTGGGCCAGGCCTCGTCCTCGCTGTAGTTGCTCAGATCGGGCCCGATGGCCTGGGTGAAATTGAGGAACATGTTCCACGTGTCCCTCGAGATGCCCCGAATACCTGAGGGGTTCTCTGCCAGGAAGTCCAGCCAGCGCTCCAGGATCGCAGGTGTGTCCTGGGTGAAAACTAGGCGCCACAGGGCAATCGCAATGTCGCGCTGCAGCGACCGTTGTCCCTCATCGGCGTCCAGGCCGAACTGGAAGGTGAAGCGGTAGAGGTCCTTGAAGTTTTCCTCACCCTGGGCATCCAACAGCATGCAGGGGAAACGTGAGCAGATGCCTTCCAGGCTGTCTGCTTTGACGGCCCTGCAGCCATCAATGAATTCCTTCCTGGAGACACAAAGTCAAAATGTTGACGCATCAGTGATACTGAAATAAAGGATACAGAATTATATTACGGATGAAGAGAGTAACCTTTGAGGTTTAGAAATGTTGCTGTTTTGTTCCCATTAGAGGCTGTTTAAACCATTCCATTAAAAGAAGTAACTCAAAAATGGTTCAAGTGCAAACTATCATATGGATTGACATGTATTTCCATCATTTCAGATATCGAGGATTTATAGCTGACTAACTGTATTCTCCATCTGCATTGTGCTGTTTTTTGTTTTTTTTATACATCCCTCTCAGTTTGACTCAATCAGGAACGGGGCAAAAACTCTTGATTTACAGAAAAAAAAATTCAACCCAGGAATATGTCCTGCTTTACTTACACTACAACAGCACAGGCCTCAAAAGCCAAATGTTAAATAAACAGCTTCAGTAAGCATCCATTGACAATGAAACAGGTCGGTAACCAAAGTGCAGTGTTGTCCAAAGCCTCTGGATGAAAAAGTGCTGAGTTAAGAATCGGAGAAGGGGGGTGGGGGGGGAGAGAGTAGTGAGTAGTGCCCGGCCAGCAGGCAGCCCTATTCATCTCTTACACTGGCTGCAGAGTGGGACAGTACAGCAGGATCCATTTCCTGTGTGCAACCATACCTGCTGCCACTAGAAAACTATTTGTTTGTGTGCATGTTCAGTTTAGTTGAGGCATTAATAACTGTGTTCGAGGTGGGGTAGATGAAAAGACCACTACATAGTACAAGGCCTATAGGGTCAAACTGCAGAGGGGGTAGAAGATGACTCTGTGGATAGAGCAGAAGTCATCATGCATCAAGCTAGTTGTAAACACAACAAAAATTTGGTTTAATGGGATCAGGCATGGACTGGCTGAAAACAGTTTCAGTATTCAAATTTACAATAGATACATTAACTTAATTGTTTCCAGCTACTTTGTTTAGTCGTCATGCGTTTTCAATTATGCACCTCTTATTATACCGCTCCACACATCGTGTGTGTTTTTATAATAAGTCTTTTCCACAAGTGGAAGTGTACATACCTGGTATTATTCTATTATTGTATTTTTTCTGCCTTATTTAACTGATGTACATATGTTTGATTTTTAACTTCTTGTTATTTTTAATAATTATATTCCTGTTTCCTGCTTTCTTGAGCTGTTGTAATGAAAAAATTTCCCCCATGGGGGATCAATAAAGTTTATCTTATTACAGCTTTCATTTACTTTCTTTTTAACAAGTTTCTTTGAAAAGATGAAATGTTTGGAATTTGTCCAAAATGTTCTCGGGATGCCCAAATGTTCAATTTACAGCTTGATTAGTAAATCGGTAGAGGACTCGAGTTAACATACTGCACAGCAGTTGGGGTGATGTTCTCCTTATCACAAAAAGGTTTCAATCCCAACCAGAAGTCAGGTTAAAATCAATCTGTGTTTAGAGATGTGTTTTAAAAGCAAACCACTTTTTGAAATATTGTTATGTCAGAATAAAAGTGTTGATGTGGAATTTGTATTAGAACAATGACAACACAGTAAATGTTGGTTGCTTGAGTGAAATAAAAGTCCTCTGAAGAGAATAGTTGGCCAACATAAAAAAAAATATCTAAGGCTCTCTGTTGTGTTACAAAAAAAAAAAGCCTATATTAGTCCATGGCTATAGATTAAGTTAAAAATGTGTGCAGGACTAACTCTTCAGAGATCAGGGTCAGACCCTGATGAAGGCTCTGATGAACTGAAACATACACATTCACACACTGATCAAGCAGCAGTGGGAGCAATTTGGGCTTCAGTGTCTTGCCCAAGGACACTTCAACATGTGGTGCAGGAGGTGGGTATCGATCCCGTGACCTTCTGTTTGAAAGATGACAGACTCCACATGAGCCACAGCTAACTGTACGATTAACGGGCACAACCTGAGAGCTCACACTGTCGAGTGAAGTAAGGACAAAATTCAAGTCGGATCTTTGTT